ATATATATATATATAATAGTTATTGATTACATGTGATTAACAGAAAGTGACATCAAATGATAGTATAAATTGATGAAATAAGAGTTTACTATAATAACAATAACACCTCATTTTCAAGGAATAAAATAAGTAAGTCAAAAAGCAATCCAGGTGCTAAAATGACGTACATAAATTAGAGAAAGTTTGTTATTTGTGTAATGTGTGACAAAGGCTTAGCATATCTTAAATTGGCGAGATGAACATGAATATACCCTTGGCTAATGACAGCAAGCCCAATTAAATGATTAAAAATATCCATTGGGCCTAAGAAATCAATAACTCTATCTTGTGCAAAGGAAGTAGGTTCATGATATATACACCTCCTTTTTTCTATAAATTCACCTCCTTTTAAAAAAAATAATTAAAATTTTATAATATTTTTAATTTTTTGTTTTAAATTTTTTAATTTTACATTCACAACATTTAATTTAGTACTTTTTTTTATTACATATCTTTCCTTTTTTTTTCTTCAATTTTTACATGCACCTCTTTATTTTTTCTTCACCTCACCTATTTTGGTAGCATGTGAAAATTGAAAGAAAAAAAAAAGTGTGTGAATAAGAAGAAGAAAATAGTAAATTGAAAGTTGAAAGTGTAAAATTAAATTTTTTTAAAAAAATTATAATATTTTATAATTTTTTTAAAAGAATGAGGTGTACTTATAAAAAAAAAGGAGGTGTATATATCATGAGCCAAGGAAGTAATAAATTGTTGGGCTGACTTGGCCCAATATCAGGATATGTAAAAACATAATCCAGGTTGATAAATATTTTAGACTACAAAAACCAAAAAAAAAACGATAAAAATACTTCAAATAAAAATAAAAAAAAAGTGGGGTTCGGGGGGGCGGGGGGAGGATTAAAACTTCTCCAAGTATGATTTTATTTTTTTATTGAAAGAAGCATTTATATTTCTTTTTTTAAAATCATACTTTTAAATATCTTTAATTTATTTTCTTTTTAGAATTTTTTCTTCTTCTTCTTCTCCTCATTTTAACACATTTATTTTTTTTGATTTTTTTGATTAACGGTTATCTCTATATTTATTCACTACTATCATAACTTTATTTTTTTTATTTGAATAAAATACATAAAGATACAAAAAAGACCTCTTTCCCACTAGAAATAATGTATAATATATAATATTATTTTGAAAATAGTTTAACTTCTTATTTACTTCTCTCAACTTTTATTTTTTTAAATTTGAATTTATTTCATTTTAAATAAAATAACTTGTGTAATTTATAAGATTAATATTTATTTTATATAACTAAAATTTATAATAAATAAATATTTTTTTACTGCGTTAGATAAATATTTTAAATATATAATTATACGTTTCCCTCATACTTATAATTATAATTTTTAAAATATTTTAAAGCTTCTCGAATTAAATTATACTCATATAATCTAAGAAATACTAAGATTTAAATAAAATGATACATTATTTGTAGTCAAAACGGTTGTTTTGTTTTTGTTTTTTTTTTTTTTTCTTTCAAGAATTCTAGGTTTTTAAAATAGACACTCTCAATTATATTTTCTTTGGGCCATAAAATTCTCTAATGCAGTAGTGGGTCTCCTCTCTGGGCTCGGGTTGAGCTAGTTAGGGTTTGACATTTTAAAGCCGTTTCACTTAAAACACTCTAACCGTTGGATCACATGAATCTAATAACAGCCATACGATTATTCTGCTATTTGTCCTATAAAACGACACAAACAGAACTCTTTGCCGCAGCTACTCTAATATCTCTTCTTCATAGCTTCTGCATTGGAAATTAGGGTTTACGATTTCTTAGGGATTGGGAATTCTTAGGGCTTATGAATTCTTAGTCTGATTTTCACTCGGATTTCAGTTTTATAATTGCTTCGCTATCTGGTCGATGCGGATTAATTCGATTCCCAATCGACTCGTTCCCTAGAAGCTATAGCACTTTGTGTTGTTCTTTTTTTCATCACTTCCACTACCCTTTGGTTTTGGGAAAACAATAGAACAGCTACATGAAATTTTCTACCAGATCTGTTAGATTTTGTTATGGGTTTTAGTTTTGTGGTCGATTGAGTAAGTAACTGGGGTTGCGTCATTGTCAACTGTGATGAGCCTACAGACCTGTAATGATTTGCGGTAATGATCGCAAACATAATTGAACATCTAAGGGACTGAGTTGTTCAATGTTGTTCCCAGTTTTTTAAGGGTTAGGTTCTTAAAGTTTGTGTTTTTTGGGTAATGTTCTGTTGTTAACAATTGGGTGTTTATGTTTGAAAGGCTTCAGCTTTCTTTGAGGTTTTTGCTGGCACTTTTTAATGTGTTTGCAACGTATAATTGAGGCCGAGATGTGTGTTCCCCTCGCTATCCATTGTTGCAATTTGATGCGGTATTTGGACGTCGGGGAACTAAATTCTTTTTTTTTTGATCGTGTACGGAATTGGGTTTTTAAGCCTTTGTATTTATGGTGAAATGCTGTTGAGGTTATTTAGGGTTTAATCGTTTAATATTTCTGGGTTAGGATGAGGCTAAATATATAATCCAACACTTGATCTGAGTAATTACAGTGATGGAAAACAATTTCCTATGCTTCTGAATCTACATGTATCTTTTTTTGTGCAGTTGTGCTTATTTGTATTTTTTTCATTGGTAGGTTATAATATTTTTTAGTAGTGCATTCTTGGTGGTTACATCATGTGATGAGATTGGAAAAATCTTAGGACACCTTCCTACACAGCAAACATTGCTGTGGATGAGAATGAAATTTCCATGCTGATGATGTACTTCGTTTCTATTTCATGCCTATTAATCTCGATATTTAGAATGTTTTTCAAATCAGATTTAGGGAAAGTTGTTTTATAACTATACTTATAAGTGGTTTTAGTTTTAACTCTTAATTGAATTTGGTAGATGTTTAATTGAAAATCATACATTGTTCTATTTGTTGTGGGTTTTGTTATACTAGTTTATTCTCAACTGTGATGAGCCTACAGACCTGTAATGATTTGCGGGCGTGATCGCAAACATTAATTGAACATCTAAGGGACTGAGTTGTTTAGTGTTTGTTGCTGTCAGACTTTTAATCTATGCATTTTTCTTTTTGGTTGAATAGCAAAATGCTACTTAAATAACATATAAAATGTAATTTCATGTGGATTTTATAACGTCTTTTTGGATACAATAGCCTTTGTTTGGATGTTGCGTTAAAGATGATCATGCACCACATAATTAATTCTTTGCAGTTATTAGATCATTAATATCATATATGTTAATTTTTAAGATAAGTATTTTAAACGGTAGTTGTATGTTAATTTTTATTGGTTGGCGGTTTGTAAATTTCTACTGATTGGACATGAACATTATTATGCCATTAAAGAAGCTATTGATTTGGTTGCATATGTTGTGGATTTGGCCACTTAGCTACTAATTTTCATTGGGGAATCTAAATAGCACCTAAGTAGCCCCCAAGAAATAAGGCAATCAGTACTGTTGAAGCAAAAAATGATTATCATTACGGATAAAAAATAAAAAATGTTCATTCAATTTGCAATATACCAATACTGATGTAAGCAATGTATAAGATTATGGATTATTGTCTGAACATTGGACGTATCATTAAATGGAGCATTGTTAGCCCATAGCAAATTCATGTTGCAACAACTAATTATAATAAAATAAATATAAGGTTAATATGAACTCAAAAACATTTACTCAATTCATATATCATCTCAATGCAATAAGGACTTAGCCCAATTTGTTATTTCCTATGTTGCCTAAGAGCATCTCTAATGGAGGGTGTTTAACCAGTTTCTTATTTATAAGCATCATATCTAACAAGAAATCTCCATTGAAGTAGGCTTATGTGGTATAAGAAGGAAAAAAAAATTTAGTTGTGTCTTGCAGAAGTAACGGTGCTTGCCTCTTTCCTTTTCTTGAAATTTCTGTACATAAATTCTTTTTGAACCAGTTACGCGTGGGAGTTGGAACTATATGTACATTTAAATTACTATTTTATCACAAATTTCACAAAAAAAATAAAATTATATATATATACATATAACATGTGGAAATAGCTGAATACACTTTTAAAATTTTTATAATTTCATTTATTTTATCATTTAGTTTTTATAATTAAAAATATATAATTTTAATTTATATATATATATATTTTTAGTTTTTATAATTTAAGATATATTTTTTTAATTCATATATTTAAAATTTTTAATTATTTTAATTTTTGTCGTTAAATTTTTTGTAAATTTATTTTCTTTTATGTTGATATGTTAATTTTTTTATTATTGTAATTTTTTTTGTTAGTTATTCATATTTATAGTGTGAGGTGTTAAAAAGTGTAGTATGAGTTGTAAAAAAGTTGGGGTACTTATAAGCAATTCTCATTGGAGCAAAAATTGTAAAAATATAATGAGTTACTTATGAGTGTTGTGGCACAGTAGAACCTATTTAAAGTGATTAGGAGTTGCTTATAAGCAATTCCCATTGTAAATGCTCTAACCCATAGCTTAAAAATAAAGGCATAAGAATTATAAGAACAAAGTGGAGCAGAAATATAACTCTTAAAGTTCTACACTCCCTTAAGTGTTGTTAAAGAAAATTATTATATTTTGTAGATATTATACATTAAAATAAGTGGTTCCCTACATTTAAAAAAATTATAATCATTTCCCAGTTTTACTGTAATACATTTTGAAAACTAAAATGATAGATAATTGTTGGCTGAGAATGATTAAATGGTGATGTACTTCTGATTGAACTATAAGCAATTTAGGCCAACGAAAAATGAGCAGTGAAGAAAAACAAATCTCTAGTTTTCTAACCGGAAATAAAAAGGAAAAGAAAATCAGCAAAGCAAGTTACACGCAATTATTTTTTTTAAAACAGGAAAAATGAATTGAAAAAATAAATTAAGCAATTTATTGAAATTCTTTATTGAATGAGAAGAAAAATATATAAAATATATTTTAAATAATTTATGATATTATAAATATAGTATCATGGTATATAAAATATTATTTACTTGTTTAATAATACGTGATTGTTAATTATTATTAAAATGCAGATTTGATCTAAAAGCATACATTGAGTAGGCAAATATCTAAAAGCATATTGAATTGGACTTACTAATGGATGAATTTGATTAGCGATTACAAATTTACCAATCATCTGAATGTGTTTGTATGGATTGTTGTGTTCTTAACTTTTCAAATAATCCAACTACTAGCAAGAGACATAATCATTCTTGCCCTCCACATTCCTTTGAGTTCATCCTATATTCTTAAATCAGAAAATGTTATCCTTAATCCAACCTTATCATACGCCAAATCCTTGTAGCTCTGCCACAATCGTGAATTGTATGAAGAATAGTTTCTTGGTATGCACAACTATGACAAAATTATTATAAGATATAGGACGATGAAATTGAATTTGGTTAATAGGAAGAGTTTCATGAAGGGTAAACCCGAAAAAAGTGTCTAATATTCTAAGGTAATTCAAGTTTGTAGCTATTGATAAACAACAGTAGCTGAGTACAAGCTTGAATAGGAGTTCTCCCATATAATTTCATCATTGGACTCATTTAATTTCCTCTAGGATTTGGATACTAAGTTGTTTTTGGCCATCAATATAGACGTCCTTAACAACCAATCCCTTAACAACCAATCGAGTATTGTTTATGATGACATAAGAAATCAAATTGTTTAACTATCTATTATATCCCAACTTCGATTTTGAAATCAAATTTTGATCATGGATGTCCAAATTATTTGTGAACAATCTTGCTTTGGTATAGTATGAAAGATGTGTTTACCTTTCAAGTATTAGGCTAATAGCCAAGTCATCTACAATTTCACTTTATTATGCATGAACACCCAGAGCATGCTTGTGAAGTAAAGATAAATTAGTTTTCTTGGTTGTATCAATTCCCAAACCTCCTTTATATTTGTTTTTGTAATTGTGTACCAATTCATCCAATGAGTAGCCACCCCAAATAAGTTCTAAATACTTGTAATGTGATTATAACCAATTGTAATATGACACCATCAGTTGTCTTCAATAACTTGAATTTAACTTCTTATTTTCAATTAATCTCATCGAAAATGTAAGCAATGTCACACTTCACCTTACTTGCTTTCTTCGAAAAATTAGAACATTTACCTATATTATAGATATGATAATACCCTATGAGAAAGATAAATTTGGCAACCTTGGATCTATTTGATACATTTTAGAGGCTACTAAGTGTGACTTTTGAATATTGATTTTTAAATGGAAGTAAAACAAAAGACCCACAAAACTCTCTCACCAATATGACTTGAGAGCTTTTTAGTTTAGATGAAAAATTGACAATCATGTATAAAGAAAAGATGTATGTGAAATTATTTTTGTAAATTTAATAAAAAGTTCTATCTTGAATTTTCTCTTAAATAAGGTAAACCAATTTTTTTTTTTATAGAAATTAGAAAAAAAAACTTTTTTTTATTATTATTAAAAAATATTGTCAGTCAAATACGAAAACAATCTAAAAATTTGATAGACATTAAATAGATTGTGATATCTTTTTTACTTAAGTTTTCTATATTTATAAGAGTTGATATTTAGACTCTAATTACTTGTTTAAATGATATAAATCCCTTATTACTCACTCCAACTTAAATAGATAAACCTTTATAATGTTTATAAGATACGTGCATCTAAGTTTAGGGTTTAGGGTTTAGGGTTTAGGGTTTAGGGTTTAGGGTTTAGGGTTTAATGTGCATCTAAGTTAAGTTCAATCAATTTTTTCTCCAAAATAATTGTCTATTTCCCACTTTTCTTAATTAGAAGTTAAAAATTATTCTTATATTCCTCTTCTTATATATTAAATTTGAACATTATTTATCATTCTCTTATCTTAATTGGTAGTTATTTTAGTTCAATTTTGAGAATACTTCAAACCTAATTATGCTCACTCAAGTCAACTCTATGGCCCAATTAATTTAATCCCCTAACAACTCTAAAATTAATAATTAAAATTAGTCTTAATAAAAATATCATTTTTTTGGTAAGCAATAAAAATATCATTTAATTAAACCTAACCAATTAAATAAACACAAGAACACGTTTCTTAAATGTAAAAGGATTAATACAAGTTCTAATGTGTGTGCATTGCACTTTCTTTTAATAAAATTCTAAAAGAATTCCCAATCTTTAATAATCACGTTGCAAGTTGGATTCCTAAAAAAACACGTTACAAATTAGAAGTTGGAAGAGTAATTGTAGGAAGAGGAACAAGTAGTTGAAATCCAAAACGTAATGGTGATGAAAGACAAAGAAAAGAGTTAAGAAGACGTTGGGAAGTAGGACGTACTTGAGAAGAGATGAAGATGGCAACGGTCATGATGCCACGTGGCACGTGTATGTTTCTGTCTTCACACTCCAACGGTAACTTCGCAGAACCTGCTTCCCACGGTGGGGCCCACACACCCAACAAAACAATAATACAAAGAAAGAGAATGAAGGTGTTTTGTGTTTTGTGTTTTGTTTTGCTTAGGAACGCAGTGGGTAAGTCAAAGTACGCTCTTTCAACTTCACTGTTACATTCTTTTTCTTTTTTAATTCCATTTTTTTTTCATTCATATCTCATCCTGATTCTCCTGTTATGACAACTTCCTCCAGCTTCTACTCCCCCAGATAACCACACTTCTACCACCCCAAATTACATTCTTCTCCCTTTCTTTCTTAAACTTTAATAAAACACACGTTAAAGTCAACATTCAAATAACATTTTGATTCCTTTCTATTTACCCTTTCTTTGTTTCGATGAAGAAAATTTTGGAAAAACACAAATGTTAAATTTAAATTAAAGTAAAGTAAAATTTAAATAAACTCTTTTTTAACTTTTATTTTTCCTTGGATCAAACTAAAAGAAATATATTCATATTTTTCTTTTCCCTTCTCTTATCTTTTTCCCTTTATCAAACCTGCCAATCCATGCAATTCTCTTACAAACTTTTTTTTACATAATATATAAGAGTTTAATTCTAATGCGTTCATGTAATTTTTTTAGTTTTAAATAATAAAAATCATCTTATGATGATTATTAAATATTTATTATAAAATTAACAACATTGGATAGCTGTATAATTATATATATATATATATATATATTTATAATCTCATAATTTCTGCTTTTTTTTCATATTTGATATAGATTACAAAATGTATAATGCTAATACAAATAAGAACTAATTTTTTATATATCACATTCTAATATATTAAATGTATTTTTTCCTCAGCATTGAATTTCCATAAATTCAAAAGAACAACTAATGTAAAAATCCAAAAAAGAAAGGAAGAAAATGAATTGAAAATAAGGTTATAACACAATCTTGACCTATTATTATTACACTCATTTTCAACAAGAGGCAAAATAAAAGAAAAAGGGCAAAATGGAGTTTGCATAAAGGATGGTCAAAGAAGGTTTTAAAATTGACTGTGTGCTGTGTCTCACAATTAACACGCAAATAAGCGGGTCCCACACTTGCAACATTCTAATCCCCTCCTTTATATATACCTCCAACTCTCGTATCAAAAAATCTCTCATCTAAACACACAAAACAAAACCATAAAACAAACAAAGAAAGAAAGAACACAGACCAATTCCAACGTTTGAATTTTGACTGAAGACAACCAACATGTCTTGCTCCGTCGCGGTTTCCAATTCGCCGGTGTTCTCACCCTCCTCCTCCCTCTTCTGCGCCAAGCCCTCCATCATTTCCTCTTCGCCGGAGGCTCTCTCGCTCTCTCTCTCACACCTCAAACCCTCCAACGTTTCAACGGCGTCGTCTTGTGCTTCGTCTTCTTCTTCGTCTCCTTCTGCTGCTTCTTCTTCTCCTTCCTCTCCCTTTCGCCTTCGCCTTCCCAAGCCTCCAACTGCGTTCTCCGCCGCCTCCTCTTCTTCCACATCCCCCAACGCCACCGTTTTGAAGAGGAAGCGACCCGCTAGGCTCGACATACCCGTTTCTTCTCTCACCTTTGGGGTCCCTCCCACGCCCTCCGCGGCGGCGCTTGACGTAGCCGAGGCTGAGGGAGACGGCTTCTCCGTTTACTGCAAAAGGGGAAGGAGGGAGTACATGGAGGATCGTTACTCCGCCGGGGATAATCTACGCGGAGAACACAAACTGGTAAGAAAAAATATATTTTTATTTGAAAAATAGTTTTTTTTTGGGGTTAGATTGGGTGATTATGATTATAGGGTGTTTCTAGGAACTGGGGTGGTGGAAAGTTTGCAACTTTCGTTCGCTATGATTATAGGGTGTTTTAAGTAACTGGGGTTCCGGAAAGTTTGAAACTTTCGTTGTGGGTTTGATTGAATTGATTTTTGTGGAGAATTTCAATGATTGTTAGTTTTATGAATTTCTAGGTAGACGCGGTATGGAAAATTCTGTAATTATATGTTTGAGTTGTTGTTTGAAGTTAAGAACTTCTCTCAGTGATGATGATTGATGTTATTTGGGTGTGTGAATTAGCTAGGTTACCTTGGCCTTGGATTGAATGGTGTTTTTAATTGGGGATTGATTGATTTGACCTTTTCTCATGCTTAATGAGGTAAATGAATGTGAGTGAAATGAAATCTAACGAGGAGAAATTTTGTTTTGTGATCCCGGCAGGCTTTCTTTGGCATATTTGATGGGCACGGAGGTGCACAGGCTGCTGAATTTGCTGCAAATAACTTAGAAAAGAATGTCTTAGATGAAGTGATCGCGAGAGATGAAGATAATTTTGAGGAGGCAGTGAAGCGTGGGTACCTAAACACTGATTCGGATTTCCTGAAGGAGGATCTCCATGGTGGCTCTTGCTGTGTGACAGCATTGATTAGAAACGGTAACCTCGTCGTGTCCAACGCTGGCGATTGTCGTGCCGTCATTAGCCGAGGGGGTGTTGCTGAGGCCCTAACATCTGATCACAGGCCTTCCAGGGAAGACGAAAGGGACAGAATTGAGAGCCTGGTAAGCTTCTGAGTGTCTTTTCTCTGTGGTTATTGAAACCACTTCAACATGTTTGAATTTGGATATGATTGTTCTTATCTTAATAAGCATTGAAATTTGTCTTGTAGGGTGGCTATGTCGATTTATGCCGCGGTGTTTGGAGGATCCAGCGTTCTCTGGCTGTGTCTAGAGGAATTGGAGATAGACACATGAAACAATGGGTAACAGCAGAACCTGAGACCAAAGTTCTCAGGATTGAACCTGAACATGACTTGTTAATCTTAGCTTCAGATGGATTATGGGATAAGGTATAAAACTTAACCATTTAACTTCAATGTTATTAGTTTCTTTATGGAAAGTATTGTTGAATATTGTTGCTCATGTATTGATTGATTAACTGAACAAAGTTTTTCTTTTTCATTCTTTCAGGTTAGTAATCAGGAAGCAGTAGATATTGCTCGATCTTTTTTCATCGGGAACAACAAATCACAACCAATGCAAGCCTGTAAAAAGCTTGTAGATTTGTCTGTTTCACGAGGTTCTTTGGATGATACAAGTGTTATGCTAATCAAATTGGAGCACTATATTTGAAGTTCCATTTAGTACAACAGCAGCTGAGATCGTATTGCGGTCACAATGTGATTTTGAACCTAGTGGTGCTGACGATAGTGTAGCTGATTCTTTTCTGTATATATAAATCTGACGACATTATTAATCGAATTTTTTTGTACCCAGGTAGGGGAGAGGGATATTAACAATAACATTTAGTACTTTTTTACTGCATAGAATTATTGATGTAATAAGCATTCTTTTGATTATTTATACATTATTATTTTGGTAATTCATTTATTTTTTAAATTGAAATATCAAATTTGTGATATCTTCCATTTCCTTTTTTGAGTACATAATTGTTGCAGAATGATTCAGTCAATGAAATCTATGAATTATCAGTCGGCCAAATTTAGCTTGTAGATTTGTCTGTTAATCTATGAATTTGTCAAACGGTTAGATATTTGATTGACCAGTAGGCAGAATAGTATGCTTCTGTCTTACGAATTTGACAGCTTATTCAAGCTGCCTTTGCATTATTGCAGGGAATGAAATTTTTACCCCTATAAATAGTTTTGGGCCTTGATTTGTTACCAATGACGCTTATAAGTTTCATCCTCGTGTAATTGTCCCTAAACAATAGGAGGATTAATTTTTAATCCACTCTTCTACAACGTGAATATGATCCCATTAACACGTGCTATTGTTATCTTGGGATTAATGCTCGCTGTTTTATTTTTAAATTCTAATGTTAATAACATTAAATTGAGTTAGTTGTTCATGCTTTATATAATTTTTATTATTTATTACTTCAATATAATATTGTGTCCATTAGTTTAAAAAAGGGCTAACTCCTAGTGCTATAGGATACACAAGGTCACACACATAAGAGACGGGAAGAACTTGACTAATTTTTTATTTATATAATGAAATAAGCACTTCCTTCATGTGAAAAGTACGTTTGTATTTGCCATATTTACGTTAACTTTCTCTAATTTATAACTGTTTTATTGCAAATGGTTCTCCAATATCCAAGACTAATTTTCGTCTCTCAAATCTTTGACACTGACCCGGGAAAAGCCTGGAACAGTGGAACTGGAGTAGTGGCAATTGGGAGAGTAGTTCTGGTTGCACAAGGTCCATGAGATTAATTTAGTATAAGAAAATTATTTTATATAGATCTCGTGAAAACTAATGTGAACGTGCCACTAAAATATAAGCAGCAACGTTGGCAGAAGTTGACCAAGTTTGCTGGCCATAATTAGGATCAATGGCTACGTGTCCTGCCGACCACCGAATTAAAATTGTTTTTGATGAAAGTATAAAAAAACTTAGAATCATATCGCAGTTTGTCAAATCCCGCAAGGCTGAGACACTTTAGTTAAGTTCATTCATTCCTAATAGTTAAGATTTCAAATTAAATTCGATTTTTCTTATGTTCTTATGTTTTTTCATTGTAGACTTTTATCGTAAAAAATAAAACATTCGTTTGTCATGCACACTGAATAGACTCTTAACCTTGTGGTCGTGGGTGTGTATCTCTTTTTTATATTAACGTTGTTCCTTTTATGAGTTTACGTTATTCAATGAGGATGATGCATAAGTGTATAGCTGAGTTTACGCTGTCGATGAAGTTGATAAAGATCCAAATATATTTAGGACACCTCAGTTTCACATCAAATATGTTTAAAATTAATTCTATTACATTTTAAATAACTAGAATCAAATTTATATAATATGTTTGATTATTAACAAAATTAATTTCAATATGTGAAAATTTAGATTTACTTAGAAATAATTATCAGTAATTTTATCTACTCGAGTTTATAATTATACACTGAAAATAAATTTTGATAAAATTCAAACAACATTTAATATGAAAATAAGTCTTTATCCTTTATTATCCAAATGAATCTTATTAATTTTGACTCACATTTATTCAAAATTAATTTTATAAATTCACGATGATTTATCAATACATATCCAAATAAATGCTTAATCAAGAAGTGTTATTTGTATTTCCACAAGTTTTTAGAGTCTAGTAATGTCTAAGTCAGGTTCTGCGCGTTTGGACTATTCTATTTTTGTTCATCCAGTCACCAAAAGCAATCCATCCATGTTAATATTAGATTATTTACAATCCTATTCATTGTGGTCTATTCTCAAGGTCTTATACGGTTACATACCGTGTTTCAAAACTTCACTAATCTAATGAGATATTTGATAGAAATTTTATTTTAATTGGTGCAACTCAGTAATTACAACTACAACATGAAGAAAAATGCGAGACTTGTGAGTGTGTGTACACATTAAGATGGAGATGATGATAATATAATAATGAAGTGATGGCGACAAAAAGATATTTGACTTGAGATTGACTTGGGATGAAGGTTGGTTCGAGGCACTGAGACTACATGCGCACATGACACGTTGTCATATATGGATCCTTCGCGGAAGGCACAAGAACGTGTTTGATAACTGTTGTACACTTGGGACACTTAGAATAGATGATTTTCGTAGATATGTCACAATTAATATTTGAGAAGCGGGGAATGTACATGTAACCAAACCCTAACGTCCAATCACCAATCAACATATGTAAGTAATTGGCGTTTGGAAGTGCATGTATCCCGTACCATACGCCGAATACCAAACCCTCTCATCAACTTAATTGATTCTTTCTTAGGAGAATCAGTCATCTTCTAATCATATACTCTCTACGTTGTGAAACATGCACGTTGCCTTCTTAATTGCTATTATCACTGCCGTTTAATAATTGTCAAGCTTTTTATGATTTTTTTTACTACGAAGAAAAAAGAGAGAGAGAGAGAGAGATTTCCACTGGGATGAATTGGTCAAGTTTGAGACAACTTGAAACTATGAAAATGTGTTCTCTTATAAAGAGAAAATTAAGGTATATATATTTATCAATAAATTAATGAACAACATGTAATATATATAATACACAACCAGAGGAAGCAACTAGCCAATTAATGCAGACTCATCCTACTATAGAATTAATGGCTACATACATAGAGATTGGATTTATGATTGTCAAAGTCGTATGAAGCTAAAATCCTGCAAATATATGGCTATGGAGTATGGACTAGTATGAAATGAAAGCACATAAATAGCATAATTATTGACTCTGATACATTAAGATGACTCATTCAACCGTGTAATTTGATGTTCATGGATTGGAATAAATTAACTTACGTTCATAACAAGATTGGGTAAAGTCTAAAGAAATAGCTTCCGTCTGCTATGCCTGTATCATATTATAGAATTATATTGAAGCAATCATTAAGATATGTGAAATTTAATTTAATGGACCGTATTCGTGAAATCATGAGATGCGCGTGGAAATTATGTACCAATAAGAGAAGTAATTTGAGAATATCTAATTCTTGAAGCATGAAACGACAGAATAAAAATTATAAGAAAACAATGTAAGTACAGTTGAATAATGAATAAGGATTCCCTAACCATTCAAACAGTTGTCACACACTTTAAAGATTTGGCTTAAATTTTTTATTCTCGATGCTGAAGAAAATTGTTTTTCCCCCTTCAAATTTAAAATTTATCTCTTGAACTTATATAATTTTTTAAAAAATATTTTTGTCTATAAATTAAATCAACGGTATGATATTATATAAGTTTAATGTAAATATTTTTACTAATAAAATTGTTAGGATGTGAATTTTGTTTGACAATTTACCTGATGAGATGAGTAAATATACTAAATTAAGTGTTTTTTAAATACAAGAAAAAATTAATTTTAAAATTAAGCAGTCAAAAATAAATTTACTTTATATTTAAGAACCGGTCGTGCTCCTTGCAGTGCGGCCCGTTCTCCTTGAAGAACCGGTCGTTCTCCTTGTAAAATAGACCGTTCTCTTTGGGTAAATTTCGAATTTACCCAAAATGAATCTACAACGAAAATAGAGACAAGAGAAGATGAGAAAATGAAAAGAGACATAAGAAGAGTGTGAGAAGGCGAAAACGAAAACGACAACAAAATTTATCTTATTGGAGACTTTAGAAAATGAAAACGCGAGAGAGTAAAAAAAGGAATGGAAGGAAAGATTAAAGAGAATGAGAATGGAGGGAAATATAAAAGATTTTTGACGATACTTTTAAAATCGATTATTTAAAAACCGATTTCGTATACTACATACAAAATCGGTTAACACTTTTAAAATCGGCTATTAAATAACCGATTTTAAAAATAACACTTTTAAGATCGGTCATAAAATAACCGATCTTAAAAGCGTCAGACATGCCTTTTAAGATCGGTCATAAAATAATCGATATTAAAAAGTACTTTTAAGATCGGTTAAGTTTTAACCAATTTTAAAAGTGTTCATGTTATTTACAAAATTATCGTCGCGTCACTTTTAAGATCGGTTACCTTGTAACCGATCTTAAAACTCCAATTTTAAATCTAATTTTTGCAGTAGTACTTTCTTCCCCTCTTATATTTACATCCAAGAGATTTCACCAATCTTTTTCCTCACAGACATGGAAGGACATGACTACGTAATGCCTATTACAAGTCCTCACAAAAAAAAAAAAAAAAAAAAACCTAGACTATTGAATAAGAGAAGCCGGTTTCATTTGTGTAAAGAGGTATGCCATATTCATAGAAGAAGTTGAAGATAAAATGTCTTTCATGTTAGGACACGAGCGATCGAGGAGAGTAAAGAATATTTGGAAGATTTATGTCGATGAGCCATGTGAAAATCAGAGGAGTAAATAAAACTCTCAACCTTAAACTTTAAACTTTAAATCGAATAATTTATCTAATCCACAACTTTAGGATTTTAAATAGAGAAAAAATATGAGTGTTTTACATTCTCATTTTTGTATAATGAATTCATTGATTTTTGTAATAATTATTTTAAAAATTATATTATTGATAATTTTTATTAATTAACAATGTAAAATTTTTATATTAAAAATGTATCACTGTATATTATACTATTTTAAATAAATGAGTTTTTATAACCTATTAATTTTTATTTAATGTAAAAAAAAAATTCATTTATCCTTAGTACTTTTAACATTTTTGTGAATTTATTTCTCTTCATCATGTATACGAGTGTTAAAATAAATTTAGCCGTTGAATCAATATGTGCATGAGTTGAGTTGGGTTAGATTAAATTGTGAAAAATTAAGTCTAAATATATTTTTAATTATATTTATTTGTCTGGTTTAATCCATTACTCTAATTTATTTGTTATTATTTTTTTTATAATTATATATTTAATAATACATATGTGTTGCTAACGTCTATTTTTTAATTTCTAACACTCGTTTATTTTTACAATTGAGACACTTTATTTAATTTTTATTATTATGTATCGTGTTTTACAAATTTATTGTACAAACAATAACCTATATTTTTTTTTATTTTAGTCTA